ATAGTAGAAAAGGCTGATTATACCCTCCTTATTTTGGTCAATACCAACCGATCTCCGTTGCAAGTTGCGCGCCTTACACTCACCAACGTACAAATTGCGGCATTGTTCATTTTATAAATTTAAATTTAAATTTTAAATTTTATTATAATAAAAAAATTTAATAAATAATTTAATTTAATTTTTTTATTATAATAAAAAATTATCACATCAAATTATATCTGAATTTAAATTAAAAATTTAAATTAATGTATTTAACCGGTATTGAATGTTGTAGGACAATACTAGTAAGAAGAAGAGAGATTAATAACTAATAACCTATGTATCATTTTTATTATCTTATGTGCTAATGTCGTTACTTTATAATTATGTGGTGCGTAATAATGATTAAATAAACAAACTATAAAGAAAAAGAGATAAAAGAGATAGGGAATGTTTGGTATCTAGATTCATTCCTTGATTCGGATTATGGTTCGTGATTCGCTATAGTATTTTCTCTCATAAAAAATACACGTAAATTGAAAATAGTTCTAATCACATAGTTTTAATCCATAAATCAAACGTCTCTTTAATGTGATTCTAGGAAAAGTATTTGCATCAACGGATTAAGAAATGCAGGATATTCACTATAGTAATGAGCACTAAAAGTAAGCTTATGAGTAAAATTACTCAAAACTAAAATAAAAACATTTTCTAATACAACAATACATAGAATAGTAGATATAAATATAGATGGTAGACGAATAGTAGACGTACAGTGTACTGTTAGAATGGATCGGACGAGACCAAAAATCAGTCAAAAGATGTTCAAATCCTGAGGGCGAACATGTATGAGAGATTTCAAATATTTGATGTCAGGTGTTACGGTGAGTGATGTGATGTGATGTGATGTGATGAAGAAACTACTTCTAAAGCAGCTTTTTGTATTTAAGGTGTGTTTATTTACACAACTCAAATTATAATTTAAATTGTGTATATATGAGAAAAAAATATTATATTATAAAAATTAAATTTAAATTTATGTGAAAAAAAACTTTATAATAATATGAATTAAGTCATAACTTGAATTGTGTAAATAAATACACTTCAACAATAAATGGGTCAATATTGATCATTTTGCCAACGGCCAACGGTTCAAACATTGTCTGAAGTTTAATTCTTTGGTCTGCGCGTTAGGGCAGAGTTTGAAATTTTTTGAGTGAGACACAATATATATATATATATATATATATATATATATATAAATAAAGAGAGATGTCGATAAGTGTGAGCATAAAAACTCTAATTATTAAGGGTGTATTCGGCAGTCTCAAAAACTCAAAAAAAAAAAAAATAACTCGAGTTATAATTTTATTCAAGTTCATGTTTTTTTAAGTTTGAACTCGAGTTTGAGATTAAAACTTGAGTTCAAATTTCTCCTTCAACTCAAATTCAGAAACTCGAACTCAAATTAATAAACAATATTTTTTCTATTCTTAAAAATGCTATAACTTTTTCGTTTTAATCCTAATTGAGATGATTTTTTTTCTATGCGTTGACAAAGAAAATAAGAATAAAACTCCACCCATATACCCTATTAAAATTTTTCCTCACCATTGAGTTTTTATTAAAATACTATATAAATACAAATTTAAGTTTTGACTCCCTCAAACACAAACTCAAAAAGATTCTTATCTCAAATTATAACTCAAATGTATACAACTAAACACAAACTCAAGTTACAACTTCAACTCAAGTTATAACTCAAACTCAACTCAAGATCTTTACTAAAAAATGTCTAGCTCAAAAATGCAAAAGAACAACCCCCAAATATGACAAAACGATAACAAACATAGAAAAAGATAGGAGGACAACTATATCCTTTTTACTGAATAAGTTATACATCATATTTTTGATAGTTAAGGATATAATTTATTTCTTATTTAAATTTAACCTATACTAAAAAGAAAACTTCTGAAATTGACCTCCATTTTACTGTGGTTTGCCACATTCTATTTTGCATGAGCTGCTAAAAATTGTTGACGAAAGTTAAAAGCTATAAATTTGAGCCGGACTAACATACTGACTCAAAGTCTGTCACTATTATCCCGGGCACAGTCAGATACAGCCTTGCCTTAACTCCTAGACGGGTTGGGCTGATAGTTTCGGCCTTAAAATAGTTTTGAGTTGGCTTGGTTAGAAGTGTGTTTTTAAATTTTATTTATTAAAATTTACCTTATAAATATTTGGGCCGGGTCCATCGCGTTTTAAGGTCGGGTGGGCTGACTTTTTTTTCTTTAGAGACGGGCCGGGCCAACCTGAAAATCCCATTTTAGTCGTCACCCGTCCTGGGCGGCTCAAACTTTTAGCTCTAATGGGAGCGTTATTCTAATTGATATTATGATGCTATGTTTGATAGAATGAAAGAAAAATATGATAGAGAAAAAAGATATAAGGAATAAAAAATGAGAGCGGTGAAAAAGAAAATAATTTTCTTTTTAGTTGTTTGGTGTAATAAAAGGAAAAAAAACATGAGTTAATGTATAACTACTATTTTAGCATCTCTTTATAAATAAATATGTAGTTTTAAAAGAAAATTAAACAAGTAATTGGGTCTTATTTTATGTATTATGGCCGCGTTCATTTCACCGATTCGAGTTTAGAATTCGAGTTTTACTACAGTAAAAAGCTCTCAGAATCAGTCACATCTAACTTTTTTGCTACAGTAAAAAGCTCTCACATAAAGTCACATCTCAACTCGAATTAAAAACTCGAATCAGCGAATTGAACGGACCCTATATGTATTGTAAGGCATCGTTCATTTCACCGATTTGAGTTTTTAGTTCTAGATTTCTATAGTAAAAAACTCTCAGAAAATATCACATCTAACTTTTTCTGTTATAATGAAAAGCTCTCAGAAAATATAACATCTCAACTCGAATTGAAAACTTAAATTCCTGAAGTGAACAAAGCCTAAATTTTTTCTCGTAAAAAGAGTAGAAAAAGTAAGACTCACGTGTTATAACTTTATTCAATCAAGTGTTATTTTCTACCGTATTTTCTCTTCCTTTTTCTTTTTCCTCCTAACAAACAACTTACATTTTTAGGCTTCGTTCATTTCACCGATTCGAGTTTTTAGTTTTAAGTTTTTACAGTAAAAAGCTCTCAGAAAATGTCACATCTAACTTTTTATGCTACAGTGAAAAGCTCTAAAAAAATATCACATCTCAACTTAAATTGAAAATTTAAATCCACAAAGTGAATGAGGTCTTAATTTCTCTTCCATCTGCGGTAAATTTCGAAAATGGCCATCGTTTTATTAAATGAAAAAAAAAAGAAAAAACAAAAGCAGCCGCTAGCGAGAGAGGAAGAAATAATAATTCAAAAAGAAAGAAAAAAAAAAGACAAAGCAAGCCAAAAACCCATCACATCCGTTCTAACATTACATTGGAAAGGCTGCTCCCTGTGGCTTGTTGGCTCCATGTCATTCCAGGATTCCATCTCTCCCTCCACCTAAACCACCCATTCCATATGCCAACATATTCTCCCAAATTCTCAGCCGATCTAATCCACTCTCACTAAGCGACACGATGATAGAACATCACAACCCCACTATTTTTCAGAGGCGGGCCCCGCGTGTCCCACACATCTGTGATGCCATTAGCGAATGAAGCGGTCACGATAAGCCATTGAATGGAAATAGACGGTCGAGATTGCGCTAATAGATCCACGGAATCTGGAACGACCGCGACAGCGCCGCCAATATGTCGCATGTCGTCTGACGTTTTCCAGCTTCTTTGCCGTCCAATATTTGATTCAAAAAAATGAAAAATAAAAAAGTCCTCGCTGGTGCGTCGTTCATCACGTTTCTTTGGACTCGTCCACGCGTACAAAAAGTCTAACGTTTGATAGCGTGTATTACAAACTCGACAATAAGCGCGTCGCTAGTCTTCTTTTTTTGTCAAGAACATCGTGTCCACGTGGCACTCTGTTTTGGCCCACACACAAGAAATTCTCACAGAAATAAAAATCTCACCCTCTGGGAATTGGGAGAGATGTAATTACCATAATGACACTAGTACTCGAATTTAATTACAAAACTACCCTTGTCTCGTCCACAATGGAGTGCGAGCCTCGAAGGCCGAGCACTCAAGGCCCGAAACGCGCGCATGTGTCCATTTCCTTTACGCACTCCTGTATATAATTGGGAGAAAGAAAGAAATATGTTAAAATTTGAGATGAATTAATATTAATAGGTCAATAATTTATAAGTTAATAAATATGTTAAATTACTGTTTTTATCCATAATTTGTCTGGTTATGAACCATAACTTGATAAGTTATTGTCCATAATTTATCTAGTTATGAATTATAACTTGATAAGTTTGTCCATAATTTATCTGGTTATGAACCATAACTTGACATGTTTATCTATAACTTATCTGATTATGAACCATAACTTAACAAGTTATGACCTATTAATTTCTATAATTAAAAAATAACCTGTATAGTGTCTTAAACTTTTCGTCTATTTCCTATATAATTTGAGCTGGCAAAAAATCTCACGACCCACGTAAACAGTGAAAGGGCAAAACGGTCATTCTACTCTGCCAATACGTTTTACTTGAACTTCGTCGTTGCACTAATTACTAAAATCGCCACAAGGGACTGTCTCACTGTCTCTGTCGCAAAACAAAAATAAATCTATATTTTTCATTAATATTAATTTTTATATAATATAATGATAGTTTTCAAAAAAAGTGATTGTTAATTGGATTGTGAGAGCACCGAAGTCCACGAACTTCTCCTTAAGGCTTCAACGCCAACTTTGGTCAGTGCTTTGTATGAAATTACCAAGCTACCCTTCGCACGGATTTTGAATTTCTTTCCCTGTTAATGGGGCTGTCGAAGGGTCAAAGATGGTAATTCAATGGGCGGTCAGGTGATAAAACGGTAATTTCGTTTTTTAGTAGTTTTCATTCTAACCCCTTTTTGGGTGCTTTTCGTTATCCGAGGCCATTCATTCGCTCTTATTATCAGGTGGTGGTGCTCGTACTGGAAAACAAAAAAACACAAACTAAAAATAAGGAAAAAGCATTTTTATTAAAGGAAAAAATAAGATAAAATTAAAGAAAAAACCCCTCCAAATTCGAATCAAAAACCCTCGAGAAAACTCCATCGGAGCTGTCTCATGTTCGTCTTTCTTCTTCTGAAATGGAGTCCCAAGCCCTGACGACCATCGGACCTCCGACGCCGTTCTCCATCTCCGGCCTCAGGTCCGTCGAAAACTCTCAGCTTTTCTTTTTTCCAGTTTTCCTTTTCCCTCTCATTTTCTCCGTTTCTTTTTTCTCGCTTTCGGACGTTTGTTAAAGCTTGTTTATCTAGTTTCTGGTTTTTTCCCCTCTATTTTGATTATCGAAAATTTTCAGGTGTTTTCCATTTTCGGAACGTCGATTCCTTTTTTTTTTTTTTTTTTTTTTTTTTTTTTTTTTTTTTTGGGTTCTTGATTGACTCGGATAGATATGTTCCTTATATTTTCTTTTTGGTCATTTTGAGCAAAGCCTTTTGTGGTTTAGATGCTCTTGTAGTAGCGGAAAAAGTGTTTATTAGAGAGTCGATTTTTGTGGTTATTTTGCCTTTAATAGACTGTATTAGTAGTTTTTGGAGCTTTAATTGTTTTGGGTTTTTGCGGTGCGTTAGTTTATTCTTTTGAGTTTTAGTTATTAATGGTTTGATTACGAATCAATTTCACATTTGTGGGAACCAAAAAATTGGTGCCTTTTGTTTTTTTTTTTTTTTAATATTTGTATTAGTATACTTGTAGTATCTAGCATAAACAGATAATAAGGGGGGAATTTGTCAATTATTGTTTAGGTTGTTAGAGAATGGAATTTGGATTGATTTAATTATCATGTTCTATTGCAACGTTTTTGTTTTTTCAATGTCTGTCTTGTTATTTTCTTTTCCTTTTTTTCATTTCCATTTTACTAATTATTTTAGTTACTTTCCTGGGACCAACCCCACCTTTTTTTTTTCTTTCTGTTTTTTTAGTGATAATATGGGGGGTCATCTTATTTACATGTTATTGATCCTGTTTGGCTGCTAAGAATTTGATTGATAAAGGGAAATAAAGAAAGTAGAGATGAGTAGGGAAATTAAAAATATTACTAGTTACTAGCCTTTTTCTGTCCCTTTTCAATTAGAGTGTCTTGTTTATAAGCTGTACAGTATAAAACAAGTCATATATGGTGTAAGTGTAACTTCTACTTGTCTTGTTGTTTATCCAGGGGATTGTTTTATGGAGCAAAGATATTCCATTTTGCTGTGGTTCTGTCATGTGCCATTTTTTGCCTCGCGACATGTCATCCATGCTCTATGGATGGAAAACAGGAATCAGCAGAATTTGATGCTTGCAGGTCTTATGGGGATAAGTCTAATGCCGTTTTCCTGGATATTAATGCGGAGTATGGACATCCGAGAAGCTACTTAAAAATTGAGAGCATTTGCACCAATTCCCATGCATTCTGCTTCCCTTCAACTTTGCCTGGTTTTTCCTCTAGAGATGACAAGCTTGAAGCTGCTGCTCTTGAAGCTGCAGGAAGTCCGTTTGATACTCCAATAAATGTGGGATCAGCAGATGATACCAAGTCAACAATGAACAAAAGCTGGTCAATGGACTATGGCAGGTTTAAGTTACTTAATGGAGGAGTTCTCTCGTGCTCGTTGAACTCGAGAGAGGGTTCTAACAAGTTATCATCCATTCAGACCGATGGTGCTATTCAAAATGATGCTTCATCCTGTAGAAGACCTTTGCTTAATAAGAAACGCACAAATTTTAAGGCAGAAGAGAACCTAGAAATAGCTAAATCTGGTTCTTTTGATGTTTCTTCCTCACGTCATGTTGAAATTAGCCCTGCGATATTAGATTGGGGGCACAAGCATATATATTTCCCTTCTGTAGCTTTCTTAACCGTAGCAAATACATGTAATGAAAGCGTCTTACATGTCTACGAACCATTCAGTACTGACTCACAGTTCTATCCTTGTAATTTTAGTGAAGCTTTGGTAGGACCAGGTGAAACAGCTTCAATATGTTTTGTTTTCTTACCGAGATGGTTGGGCTTGTCCTCAGCTCACCTCATTTTGCAGACCAGCTCTGGTGGTTTCTTGATCAAGGCAAAAGGTTTCGCAATTGAGTCTCCTTATGTAATTCATCCATTGCAAGGTCTTGATGTTTCTTCTGGAAGTTCCGGTAGAAGGTGGAGCAGGAATTTGTCTTTGTTTAATTCCTTCGATGAAACCCTCTACGTGGAGGAGATAACTGCATGGATATCCATTTCTGCAGGGCAGACTTCTATTCACACCGAAGCAACTTGTAGTGTTAGAAACTTTCAAGATTCAGAGGTGCTTGCTATGCCAAGCATTGAGGATTGGATGGTTGTAAGGAGTGGCCAATTTGGTTTGCCCTTGCTGGGGATGAGGCCCCTTAGGAACTGGGAGATTGGTCCACGCAGCACTGAAACCCTCATAGAGATAGACCTCTCAGTTGAATCAAAAGGAAAAGTTTTAGGTGCATTTTGTATGGAGTTGCTAAGGTCATCTCAGGACAAGTCTGATATGATTGTGGTTCCCCTTGAAGCTGAATTTGATGGAAAAGCAGTACCTGATGTTTCAGGATCGATTTCAGCTTTTCTTGAGGTCTTACATCCATCTGATGCCAATGAAGCTGTCGTTGCTATCTCTCTAAGAAACGGCTCTCCTTACATTTTGAGTGTTGTTAAGATTACTGAGCAGACTGATAGTAGGTTTTTGTGGTTCAAATACATGGAAGGGTTGCTACTTTTTCCTGGCACTGATACGCAAGTTGCTGTTGCTACTTGTACTCATACGCATGATTCTCCGCCAGATGTACTTAACATCGGCGAGGAATGTAAATTACTTATACTGACAAATGACTCAACTAGTCCCCAGATTGAAGTTTCTTGCCAGGAAATAATTCAAACTTGTTCAAGAAATTCGAAGGATTCTTTTGTTGGATATAAACATCACTCAGAACTTGATGAATCTAGCAGAACAGTACAGTTGCGAAGTGGTGTGAACTTGCCATCACAAATCAAGGTTTGTGCATTTTACTATGTACAAGTGTTATAAGTATTAATTAAGTAGCATCGGTAATGTCATTGTAAGATAAGAAAGCTAGGAACTTGTATCCACAAAGTGCTTTGTATATATCTGTGTGTGTGTGTGTGTGTAAGTAGCATCGCTAAATGTCATAGTAAATAAAAAAGCTAGGAACTTGTATCCACCAAGTGTGCTATATATATATATATATATATATATATCTGTGTGTGTGTGAGTGTAAGTAGCATCGCTAAATGTCATAGTAAGATAAAAAAGCTAGGAACTTGTATCCACCAAGTGCTTTGTGTGTGTGTGTGTGTGTGTGTAACAGCCCACAGGGCACATTCCAAAGTCTCTGTTGGTTAGGTATATCTTGTATGTGGGGTATATATAATCTCAATGAGAGAGTCAGAGGGAGGAAAGGTAAAATGACATAAAAAAGTTGTATTGAATTTAAGTGACAATTAAAACTTATGCTCACAATATAACGAACAAGATCAGAAATTTTGCATTGCTGCATAACATTATTTATGGAGATGGGGCTATATATATATATATATATATATATATTCCCTCTGTCATTATTTACATATGATGTTCCCTTTACTTGTGGCATATGTGGAAGCTTGGAATTGGTACCTTTTTATTTTACTGCGTTGATTTTGTTAGCATGCATGAAAGCTCATGTTATCCCAGAAGTTTCTTCCGGCACCCCAGTTTTTTTCCTCCCTCTCTTCCTAGTTTATTTAAATTTTCAATAGATTCCCCTATACAATAAACAAAAGAGTTGGAAAATAGCACATTAATTTTTCATTTCATTTTTCTTTTTCAATTCCCTTAATTTATTCTTTGATTGATCTCTATATCAGAGCACATTCAAATTTAAGCACTATGAACTCTTTGCATATAATGACCCGTTATACAGAATGACCAGTATGCTTATATCTGAACTTATCTACGGAAGCAGGCACTAGAAACTACAGAAGCGGATGAATTTGTGCTTGGAAACTGGAAGTCCCATGGTACTAAAGGTGGCATATCTGTGCTTGTTGATAATGAGCTGTTGTTCCCAATGGTTCACGTTGGAAGTTATCAATCCAAGTGGGTCTCTGTTCACAACCCTAGCGAAGAGCCAGTTGTTCTGCAGCTTATTCTGAACTCCGGAGAGATCATTGATGAATGCAAGGGCACAGATGGTCTTATACAACCTCCTTCATCTGGTAGTTTGGTTCACGATGAATCTGCTACTCCAAGTAGGTATGGGTTCTCAATAGCTGAGGGTGCAGTAACGGAAGCTTTTGTTCAACCTTACGCTAGTGCATCTTTTGGACCAATACTATTTCATCCTTCGACTCGATGCGAGTGGAGAAGTTCAGCCCTGATAAGAAACAATCTGTCTGGTGTTGAGTGGCTGTCCCTGAGGGGTTTTGGAGGGTCACTTTCTTTACTCCTGCATGAAGTTTCTGAGCCTGTTCAGAGTATAGAGTTCAACCTCAGCTTGCCAATTCCTGTTAACCTATCGCCTGTAGATATTTTTGGTCACCTGGAAGGGACCTCTTATTCCTGTTCGCAGCCATTACTGAAAGAGCTATACGCCAAAAATATGGGGGACTTGCCACTAGAGGTTAGAAGGATCAAAGTGTCTGGAAGAGATTGTGGGTTGGATGGGTTTATGGTGCACACATGCAGAGGTTTTTCCATTGAACCAGGAGAGTTATCAAAAGTTCTGATATCATATCAGACTGATTTTTCTGCTACTGTGGTACATCGAGATCTTGAGCTGGTCCTGGCCACTGGTATTCTTGTAATACCCATGAAGGCAACCCTTCCTATGCATATGCTCAATGTCTGCAAGAGATCTGTTTTCTGGATGCGTCTTAAAAAATACACTGCAGCGATCATTCCAGCGGCAACCTTAATGCTTCTGGTATTTTTCTTAACATTTCCGCAAGTATTAGCCTTGGGCTCCTCTGATTATATCTGCAAGAGTTACAAAGATCCCATAGCTAGTACTTTAAGGAGTACAGGAAAATGCCCTCATGAGTTTAACCTGGAAAGCAGCAAGTTTTCTTTGTTGACTGATATGGATAATTTGATAGATAAGAGCTCGCCACAGGCATGCATTGGTAACTTCCCCAATGATCAGGTTGGGCCACCAGATCAAGGGACACAATATGTGAAATCAGTTTTGGGAAATCATAGACAATCCATTGACTCATCAGATAGTAGAAAAGGAGAGTTGCCGTTGTCTTTGCTGTCGCAATCTGTACATACTGACAATTCCGACATACAAGAAACATCCCCATCTGGACATCTTACAATCAAAACCGAAAAGGAAAAGGGGAAAAGGAGAAGGAAGAAGAAGGGGGCTGGTAACAAACTAGCAGGACTTTTCGAAGTTTCAAGTAGCCAGAGTGGAAATTCGACACCTTCATCTCCTCTATCTCCAGTCACATCCGTGACGCCCAGACAACTGTGGCTGCAATTGCTTGATCCGGACCAACCCATTGAAGGTAGGACTCAACAAACCCAAGTGGCTAATCAACACCCTCAAAAGGAAAAGGCTATGAAATCTGTTTCCAATGCAAACTTATCGGAATCCAAGGTTGTTGGAGAGCACCCGCGCAATGACTTTTGTGCTTCCGCACAAGAGCAGCGTTCATCTTCTGTGCCTCGAAAAACAGCTACTCATAAACCTGTTCTATTGCCTTCGGCCACATTTCCTTCTGCGAGTAAGCCCGCACCAAATGTGCTTTTCTCGTCGCCTTTTTTGGCCTCAAGCTCCCCTATTCCTCCGCATGCTCGAGCTCCGGGGTCCAAACTGTGTGGCCAGAAAAACACAAAAGAAGAAGAAAAGGCGTCGGTTGGAATTGGGGATGAGTACACGTATGATATCTGGGGTGACCATTTTTCTAGGCTTCATTTGATGGGTAAGTCTAAGAACGTGTCCTCTTTCTTCTCCAAGACCCCAGATAACGACTCTGATAGCTTCTTTGTAAAGGGTCCTCAGATCCTCGTGACCAAGTCTCAACCAAAATCTTTAAGTTTCCGTCAAGAGGGTTAATAATAAATTATCAATAACTTATTATATATCCTTTTTGTGGTTTTTTTTTTTCTTTTTTTTTTTTTTGGTTTTTTTTTTTTTGGTCTTTTTTTTTCCATTATTTATTTATTTATTTATTTTTTGGTTTTTTAGTTTTTTAGGTTTTAGTTTTTTTTTTTTTTTTTTTTTTTTTTTTTTCTCTTTTTTTCACGACGACTAAGTTGGAGAAAGTTTGAACTTGGATTTTTTAAAGGGAAAATAATTTCCACTCTTTGCACGACGACTAAGTTGGAGAAAGTTTGAACTTGGATTTTTTAAAGGGAAAATAAACCTTTTCTAGGTAGGATAAATTCAAGTTTTTATACCTTAACCTTTTCCCTTCACAGATGAAATACATCAAGGAAAAAATTGCAAGAAAGCAAAAAGAGAGAATATTTTAAGTATAAATTTATGAATAGTCTCTAAACCTTGTCTTTCTTTAAAAGTAGTTTCTAGGTCAATTTTCATAAATGGTCAATTTGTTAAATTTTAGATGGAAACAACAATTTTGTCTCATAAAATGTCTTTGAACTATTCTCTCTTTTTAAAAAGTCCTTATATTAAAAGTTGTACTAAATTTAATCCCTAAACTACAAAAAGTATGCCAAAATTAGTTCATTGTTAAATAAATAGAAGTTCGAAGTACTGGTCTATCCTCTCTATGAGTTGCAATTAAACTTAGTCTGGTGGTCATTCACTATATAAAATAGGATTATATATATATATATTTATATATAAATGCACAACAACACTTAACTGATCAATTATCTTTACCCAACTTTCCATTCCCCTAATTTCCGCTGCTACTATTATGATGGTGGTATAGGAAATTAAGGTGATGGAAAAACAATAGTATGTTTTCTTTTTAATTATTTTTGAAAAGGGAAAGTATATTTGACAGCACAACAATGCAATATAAAAATCAATACATACACACTGATACAATGTTTTACTCTAAAAAATACGACAGGTACAAACAATAGGTTCCACTAATAAACTCAAATTAAACGCTTAAATGAAAACAGTGTGTACCGATCGAGATTTACAATTAATAGATATCTAAAGAGGTAGATCATATAGAGCACACACATTTTACTCCCTAATAGATCCTCTATAATCAATGAAAATATCCATACATTAACATTGAGAATCCCATACAGGTCACACAAAAAGCTGCTAACAACAAATCCATTGCATAAGTAGCACAATTAAACACTAAACAAACAAGACAATCACACAAATAAGTTGGGATAAAAACCACCGTTTGTTACAAACTTGAACAAAACTAAACAGAAAAAGGAAAAAAAAAAAAAAAAAAAAAACCACAAACAACAACGATAAAGTTTGCAGTGGAGAGAGATCATCAACGCCCAAAACGATAAGAAAATGTTTGAGGCTAGAAGTAATAATGATCACATGCTGCTAAATTAATGCACTGCACCACACGCATAGCCCGATACAGTGATCCAACACGATACTTTCGACACCATTATTTTCACCAAACCACTAGAGACAAAGGATATCTGGAGAAGCGCTATGCCTAACAAAAAAATAAAGCTATCCTTAGATATTTCTAATATTTTATCTAAAAGAAAACATTTTAGATATGTCGAACATGGGTAGATAATGTATTTGTTTGTTCTTGGAGCTTTCAATGTAAACACAATCCACTATTTGGCATGTCATTATTGTTGAGAACATATTCTTGAATAAGGTTTTAAATCTACAATTAAAAGTTGTAAATCTAGGACCATATATAAAAGTTCCAAAGACGCCATCAAAAAGATCTAAATATTGGACCATTGATAACTCTATGAAAATAGAGTGATCTTAGTCATTTCTAAGCTTAAATTTGTTACTAAGAGAGTGATTTGTTGGATTAATCTTTTAGTTTTAGTTGTTTTTATTGTTTTGATGTTTGCTAGCGTGTTGTTGTTACATTTTCTAATTTTGTGAAAAACAATGAATGGAAAGAAAGAAAAAAATGTTTGAAGGACCTAATGTGCAAGTTGAGTGTGCAGGCAGTGCATTTTTGATGGGAGAAGCTGGAAATGGCAGGGCAAAACTTTGCCATGGAATGCTGCAGCAACTCATTCTGGCCGAATCTTAAAAGTTGGGAACGTACAGCTGGCATTCTCCACTTATTTTGAGAAGCTATACTTGGATGGCTGAGATGGCATAATCATGGGAAAAATCCTTAGCAGTTGACACGTGCCTATGACTGAGCTCCTTTGCGTACCCTAGCTGAAGGAATGAAGGTAGGTGGTCTGAAAGGCTGGCATATATATAAAAAATGAAGAGGAGGTGATGGCGGGGGCGGTACGAGAGAGATTTTTCAGTACATTTTTTAGGAAAGCATAGTCGAGAGAGTACAGAGGAGGGAAGGAAATCAGCTTGGAGAGAAGGCAGCAAGGACAAGCCAAGAGTGGAGGAATCCACTCCACGTTTATCTTTCCATCTCTTCCCCTTTCTTGATCTGTAAACTCAATTTAATTTGATATGTTGAACATCATGGTTTTTGATATTTCTCTTATCTCTGCACTTATAAACATGAACTAATTCGTTTTAGCTGGGATATATTATGATGAACCCTAAGTTGTGATGATGTTTAGTTAATGTTTAATGTTAAGTGATCTTTTAATTTCGTTCATTCGAGTGTGTTTATCGTTATTACTACTCATTGATGGAAATTAATTTGTAGTTATTAACTAGATTTAGCTTTGGAAAAAGATAAATCTAATGGATCTAACTTGGATGATGCAAGATCAGGAAATCTCATTTGAATTTGCTTGATTTGTCACAATATAAGAATATATTGTTACCTTGTACAACTTCTGAAAATTGGTGCATTAAACGACGTTTTGAAATTAGGTTTTGCATAGGAATATGTTAGATCTAATTAAGAGACCTAAAACACAAGTAATCTGGGAAGATTATTGTGATTAACGTGTGAAATCCAGGTTGACGGAACGAAAATTTTGCTACAGCATTAGGCAGCAACATGGGCAGAATTGCATCTTAGGGGGAGTCTTAATCCTAGCTAGTGTTTACCATTATTAACGTGTTTGATAAGATTAGAGTGCTCTGATTGCAAGTTACCCATAGTTTAATACTGTTCTTTTCTTTGGCTGTTTAGTTGATAATTGAATACAACTTTCTTTTTAACCCATTTCTATATTAACATGTTTAGTGATAGATTTTTACAATTTAGCTCAATTTGTCAATCTCCGTGGGAACGATAACTCACTCACTCTTTATTACTTGTTGGCTGTGTACACTTGCATAAAAAAAATCACATTATTCTAAGCATAAGATACTCAAGTTTGTAAATATTGTACCAAAAGCTTTAACCTAACTTATTCCAAAAGAGATAGAAGAAAATCTAACTTAAATTCATCATCCAACGTGAAGAAATAGTTGGTGTAGTCATGGTTTTGGACAAGAAGTTTTCTGACTCATACTCATTGTGCATTTGTTAGTCCTTCTACCTTATTCACTTCATCAAACACTAGCATCCTCCTTGCAGCACTATCAGTCTCGTATTGAGAACAATTAGCAAGCCTACCAATATTCTCACCAGCCATAACATACATATTAAAAAACTTCTGTACTGTCTCAGTTAAAGTATCAACCAATACATCTCCACTTTGAGATCTCTTTCTCTTTTTCCTTCCTGATGCTAATGGTGTTCAAGTTATTTGTATGCTAGGACCACCAATACTTGCAGTATCCATGTGCTCATCAGACATAAGCAAGGGATCATAATCAAGATCATTTTCTGTTTCTTTATCAATGTCATCAACCATATCAGTCAATCCTATTGCACCTTGTCCATTAGCACGATCCTTTTCAAACACAAGTCTTAACTCATCATAATAAGGAAATGGCTTGTTTCTTAAGCCTTTCGCAGTTGGGTGACTTTGTAATAGATATGGAATGTAAATTAAACAATAAAAGCGCCTAATATACTGAAGCTTGAAATTTATAACCAGTTAAAAAAATACTAACCTTAACCCACTCATCAAACACATCTTTCTCAACCACAATGCATTTTATCCTTATCATTCCAACCAAAACCACTACCGGCAGGGCCCAACATTTTAAAAATGACATGATATTGTTTCTTTAATATCTTTACACGAGAATTAATGTGTGGTTGTGCTTTAAGCCCACATTGTGAAATCTTTTCATTCATCATTTTCTCAAATTGTTGTAAGTAACCAGGCTTGAATGTACCATTATCTGCTTTCCATTTTCTACTATTAGCCATATCCAACAAGCACTCCACTAGCTTTGAATCTTCCAATGCAGTCCATTGATGCTTCCTTCCATTAGCATCCATTATGTGTACAAATTACACACTTTAATATGAAAACAAAACCAATAATACTAGATAAAACAAAGCAACACATCAATATATCTTTATTAAAAATCACTACAATGTCATACATTTTTATTAAGAATCACAACAACAATGTCATACATATTTATTATGAATCACAACAACAATGTCATACATAAACCATATCAATGATGATTTCCCCACCATTGGTCAAACATTTCCCTAGCCAAGTTATTTCTCCATGCAGTCCAAGCATTGGATGTTTCAATATGTGTGTAATGCTCTACTTCTTGTTCATCCTCCTCATCCTCTTCTTCTTCTTCTCCTTCTTCTTCTTCTTCTCCTTCTTCTTCTTCTTCTCCTTCTTCTTCTTCTTCTCCTTCTTCTTCTTCTTCTCCTTCTTCTTCTTCTTCTCCTTCTTCTTCTTCTTCTCCTTCTTCTTCTTCTTCTCCTTCTTCTTCTTCTTCTCCTTCTTCTTCTTCTTCTCCTTCTTCTTCTTCTTCTCCTTCTTCTTCTTCTTCTCCTTCTTCTTCTTCTTCTCCTTCTTCTTCTTCTTCTCCTTCTTCTTCTTCTTCTCCTTCTTCTTCTTCTTCTCCTTCTTCTTCTTCTTCTCCTTCTTCTTCTTCTTCTCCTTCTTCTTCTTCTTCTCCTTCTTCTTCTTCTTCTCCTTCTTCTTCTTCTTCTCCTTCTTCTTCTTCTTCTACTTTCAATTGTCTTTCATAAGGATCAATAGCCATTTCCCTCCTAATTAAGTTGTGAAGAAGTCAACATGCGGCAATAATCTTACATTGTACATTGATCGGATAGAATGATTTTCTCCTAAGAATTGACCATCGCCCCTTCAAAAGTCCAAATGTCCTCTCAATAACATTCCTAGCCGAGGAATGTTTCATGTTAAAAAACTCTTCAGGAGTCTCAGGAGGGTATGTCCATGTATTTAAATGGTAGCGTTGTCCTCTATAAGGAGCCAAAAAGCCTTCATCATTAGGATAACCAACATCACATAGTTAGTAATATCCTGTAAATCATTTCAATATTTATTAGAAAAATTAAAATGCATATACATTTTAATGTGTATGACTCTATAACTGTCAAGAAGATACATATTTCCCTTGTGGATCTTTCAACATATTCCTCCTAGATAAAGCATCTCGTAAAACTCTTGAGTCAGCTGTGGAACCCTCCCATCCGGGCAATACATATATAAATTGCATATCTTGAGAGCATACTCCTAACATGTTGGTAGCAATTTCACCCTTAGTTATATTGACCACTTCAGTAGTCGGCCAGATGTCTCTGGTTTTTGCAGTACTTGCCGTAGCGGGTTGTTTGTCAAAATCCTTATGGTGTGTGCCTGAAAATAGTGTTGAAGCTTTATGGAGGCCACAATCAAGGCAAGGGCTAGTTTTTCCATTTTTAGATATTTGGTCTCTGCATGTAGGAGCCTCTTGCTCACATAGTAAACTGGCAGCATGGTAATTCCTTCTTCTCTGACGAGCATAGAACTAAGAACATGCTCCGAGACTGAGAGGTAGAGGCTTAACTTTTCCCCGACGATCAGTTTTGAAAGGACCGGCGGTTTACCTAAGTGTTCTCTTCTGAAAGGCTTCGTCGCACTGGGGAGTCTATTCAAAACACTTATTGCCTCTGAGTGTGTCAAAGAAGGGCGCACATTTATCTGTTGCCTTAGATATAAACCTGTTGAGGGCCGCAACACATCCTGTCAACTTTTGTACCTCATTTGGCCTGGCTGGCGATCTCATGTCTTGCAGGGCCATTATTTTTTCCGGGCTAGCCTCTATTCCCCTATTGCTCACCATATATCCAAGAAATTTCCCGGATCCTACCCCAAAAGCACACTTCAAGGGGTTTAACTTCATGCGGTATCTTCTTAGCACATCGAACATCTCCGCTAAGTGTTCGACGTGTCGCTTGGTTCTCATGCTCTTTACCAACGTATCATCAACGTAGACCTCAATTGTCTTTCCGATCTGGCTGGCAAATATTTTGTTGACCAACCTTTGGTATGTTGCCCCTGTGTTCTTCAGGCCAAATGACATCACCTTGTAACAGTAGAGGCCTCTGTCGGTGATGAACGAGGTGTGTTCCCCGTCTGCTGGGTGCATGGGAATCTGATTGTACCCCGAGTAGGCGTCCATGAAACTCAGCAGCTCATGTCCAGCAGTGGCATCGACAAGCTAGTCTATCCGAGGGAGGGAGAAACTGTCCTTCTGGCATGCCTTGTTGAAATCGCTGAAGTCAACGCCCGTGCGCCAATTCCCATTGGGTTTTATTACCAAGACGGGATTTGAGATCCATTTGGGGTACTGGGCTTCTTTGATGAAGCCGTTCTTTATCAGCTTGTTGATCTCTTCCTTCAAAGTTTCATATCTTTCTGGATTCATCGGTATGCGCTTTTGATGCTTTGGAGGGTGCGAAGGGTCGACGTTCAAGCAGTGGAACATGACCTCAGCGTCGATCCCTTCCTTGTCGGCATGTTTTAAAAAATGGTGTTTTGTCTAAGTTGAATAAGCTTTCGGGCTTAAAACTTCGATCCAGCTTATCGTGTACACTTAAGCAGGCTAGAACTAGACAAAAGTGATTTTACTTAAATTTCCTTACTTCTCTTTATCAAGTACGTGACACGTGATATGTGACAATTTTTCGTGCACAAACTAAGTGAAAGGCCGCACTTTTTGCCTTTGGAGGAAACAAAATTTATCATCACGAGACTAACAAAATTTATCGTCACGAGACTAACAAAATTTATCGTCAATTATAAAAAAAAAAACAAAAAAACAAAATTTATCGTCATCTCTATGCAAAGTACGGGTATGGAAATAAAATTTATCCCTGTAAAATCTGAATACCAAATGATGTCCCCATATACACTTTATCAATATATATCTGATTAGCTAAACTATATATAACACTCAAATATTATTTATCAATTATCTATTAAACAAGTCATCTACCATATATTATTTACTTTTCATATTTGATTAACAATTTGATGCTAATAGCATTTTGGACTCGCTTAAGATTGTTGGTCTAATGGCACTGGAGAGAGCTTGTGTGGGATGGGATCTGAGAGAGTTGCGATTTTGATTCCGTATTGTATCAAAAGAAAAATAGCATTTTAGACTCTGTTTTTAAAAAAACAACAAATCTATGAATGAAATTGACACGAGCTATCTCGTCCAGCTTTTGGCTTGCTGATCAAAGAGTTCTAAATTCAGATGTTCTTGGACTTTTTTCACAATCTACAAAGTACTTGGAAATGTTTGTATGATCTAGCCGATTTAGCGTAGTGAAGCATGCAAGCCCTTTTCAGTACACCGGAAGTTTCAAATAGAGAACTCAAATAGCCATTAGTACTAAACGCTTGAAACATTCACAAACATATTAACATCAAACCAAAGAACTACAATTAAGACAGAAAGTTATTGGACTCTCAGAATTTAAAATTTCACTGAAAATGAAAAACGAAAAAAAAAAAAAAAAGCCAGATTCAACAACTAACAACAGACACCGGACACAAACTCGGCAACAAAATACACAAGACCGAGCTCACTTCTTGGAAATTAGCGCACAACTGGTTAAAACTTAGGAAAGATAAAATAATCCAAATTCAAACACAACACTACTATGTGGATTGTGGACTGATCTTATGATTCTTATAATATCATCATCTTTTACTTCCCCACGGCCGCCTTGGCGTTGGACAAGCGCAGTTTCCTTTCATCCGAAAGCATCTTCGCAAAGCTGCATGGAGTTATGAATTAATTATAATAAAAGTATAGGATAATATTGTTGCTGGTATGTATATTCTGTTAATTTATATCTTTGTAAAAATAGACAGGGTATTGGGCAGAAATTATGCACATTTGAATGGGTCACATTATCTCAGACCAATCCCGGAATTTTTACGTTTTTTTCCTACATCGGATAAAAGTTATTAGTAGTACTGCTCCATATATTTTTTTTTTTCAACATCTTCTCAGAAAATATACCATGATATAGTTACTACTTGCTGCGCCTGACTTGAAAATTAAAGGGGTACAAGCTAAAATGGTTGACCTTTAGAACCATTATCCAAAGTTCTTCATTTTTTTTACCTCTTAACATTAATGAGCACCACATTATCAATTTATGTTGACATTTTTTGTTCTTGAAGTGACCAAACTAGACAATAATATTTGATAAGAGTTTCCGAAATTAATATAATTAATTAAAGATTAACCTTTTGAGTGGGTCGGCGTTGGTACCACCATTAGGAACAGGTTCATGGCGACCAGTTCTCAAATTCATGCGTGAAAGTGGCTTTTTGAGCAATTGTTTACCAATATTCTCTAGATTACGCAGGTTCTGAGGAGTTAGTTTGTCCACCGAAGCTAAATCCCCACGTAGTGTTTCATCCTGTCGTATAATTAATTAATTAAGCCCAAGTACTTAATTGATACACAAATTGAGATTAGAGTCAATTAGTGTGAAAACTTCCACTTAATCTTGTTTGAAAATAGGCATTAAATTTTAAGAAACTTTAGTGTGGCCTTATTTAACTAAGAAAGTTATAAATGTGCCTCCATTTAATAAAAAAAAATGCTAATAGTGCTTCACCGACTTATAGAAATTCCTAATGATACCCCCTTAATTTTCTTTTTTGTGTTACTGTAGCCTTATAGCTTAAATTGAAACGACTTCATCCCTAAATATTAAATGATAAATTCAAGGTTAACCACACAAATCCTTAAGAAAGAACAATATTTATAAAAAGATTAATTCATTTAATTAGAAATTTGTTACCTCAATGCGGAGAAGGTGATTTTGAGAACGGAAGGCTTCAAAAACAAGAGTGTTATGGTAATCAACCATGTCAGAGCTCGCTTCCATGAAAACATCAGTGATAGGAGTATTTCCATTCCACATGATCCAGTTTACAGGGCCCCACTTTGCACATGTTTTTGCATCATATTTTTTCGCAATCCTGTTTGAGCCTGTCCCCAAAGAGATCAACAGAAAACGGAAGTCTTCTGCCTTAATTGTGTTGAACTCTGGATCATGCTTCAGAATCTGTACTTGGTTGCTTCACTTATAGCAACAAGCCACTGGACCAACATCACCAATAGTAACTATAGGATTAGTGTATACATACATATATATATATATACACACGTGTGTGTATGTATAGAGTCCAAAAAATTATTTTCTTTTTCTAATCTCGTTTAACTAATAGTGAAATTAATCCTTGTATTAAACTCTTAAACTTTGAAAATAAAATATTAAAAAAAAAAAAAATTTACGGGATTGTTAGCACATACGCCCCCATGGATGAGATCGAATTCTTCACTTTTGCCGCTGTCATCTGTGTTCCTAAAATAGTGGGCAGGTAGGTAAGTTGGGGCTGCCGATGTGGCTATACCAATGTCTGAAAGATGACATTCAATTTTTTTCATATCCGACACCTACAATGAATTAAGTAGTCATATTCAGTGTGAATTAGTCAAGATAATATTGTATAAATAAAACCTAGATGCTGAAACCTATTCTAGTAGCTAAAACCAATCTAGATTGTAAAGATACTTCTGCATTATATCAATCTCCCTCCTATGGTCACTATTTAACAGAGAATAAAAGTAAGGAACACGATTGTATACGACACAATCAATGAACAATTAAGTAACAAAACTGAAAGTAATACGTACTTAATGAACTGCTGAATTTCTGGACAGTTCTGTAGTACGTACCACTAGGCTTTCTCTCGCAAATGAGTATCCAAAGTGATGGGGTTCATATTTCCAATTGGCCGACAGTGAGTATCGAATACAGAAATCTTTTTAACAGTACGATCTTCATCGTCTACCCAATTTCTGGCTAGTCGGTTAAACCGTGTTTCAACTCCAGTTAAATACAATGAACAAAAAGTCAGAGCTTCGTTCAGAATGTATGCCTCAGCAATCGAACCCTCAGGACGTGCACGATTCTTGACATATTTCTTTAACGATCCAAGAAAATGTTCAAATGGATACATCCATCTTAAGTGAACTGGTTTTCCTCGAATGGCTTCTTCAGGCAAGTGTATAACTAAATATACCATTATGTCAAAAAAGACAGGAGGAAAAATTATTTCTAACTGTCATGAGCAACATAGCCCGCATCTGAAATGATGTATTCGAAACTGCATCACGTACAATTACTCATTCATTCCACAAATCTTTTAGCTCATCCACAAGTGGCCTTAAAAAGACATCTATATCCTTTCCGGGTGCATTTGGGCCAGGAATCAACAATGTCAACATCTTATAAGGATCCTTAGTGCATAACCACGGAGGTAAATTATAGGCCATTAAAACCACTGGCCAAATACTGTATGAGAGGCTCATGTTCCCGAAAGGATTGAAACCATCAGCGGCCAACCCCAAGCGAACATTTCTCGGCTCACGTGAAAACTCAAGATACTTTTCATCTACCTCATTCCATTCATTACCATCGACTGGATGACGCATTAAATCCTCATCATTTGAACGCCCACGCTGGTGCCACGTCATATCTTTAGCAGTGTTACGAGAACCGTACGGACGCTTCAACTGATTTGTTAATGGGAAATAACGTAGTACTTTCCACGACACTTGTTTAGTACCCTTTGTCTTTTTTTTCTTCCAATGGGATGTTTTACATACGGGACACGTTTGTAGATCAACATTCTCCTTCCAAAACAAAGCACAATCATACTTACACATATGAATTGTTTCATAACCCAGTCCAAGTTTACTCATGAGCTTCTTCGACTCATAATGAGAAGAAGGTAACTTCACATCCGGGAATGCATCTTTCAATAGATTTAACATAGCATCCATATACTCATTAGGCCACTTGTATAACACTTTTAAATGCATCAATTTCACTAAGAAATTTAAAGATGAATACTTAGTGCAGCCCGGATACAATCCTACCTGGAGCTCAGAAAGTACATCCTTAAATTCAGCGTACTGTGCATCTTCTAGATCCATATACGTCTCATCCAACATTTCATGGTCATCATTAATCCCAGCAACGTCTTCTAAGACTGCAAACATCTCGTCTACTGGTTGATTAACTATTGGGTCGACACCTGAAACCGCTTCTACTTCACCATGGTGAATCCATGTACTATACAATGGATCAAAACCAAATCGATGTATATGCGCTCTCATAGTTTCTACTAGATGCATTTCATTGGTTTTACATTTCACACAAGGACAGCTGATATGGCCAATTGAAATTGCATAATTTTTGGCGACCTCAACAAAAGCAGATAACCCATTCCAATATTCATCCGACAATTGGTTCCTCAAATAAATCTAACTTTTGTCAATCAACATTTCAACTATAAACAACAACAGACATAACAATTTATTAATGTGTTTAATTAATTTTAATTTTACTCTTTATTAACACAATTAAATTGTATTAATTAAAGTTTGTTAATGAACTTATTAAAATTCTCGTTTTCTAACTAAATTTCGGCAGCATAGCGACTTATTTTTCATATGATCCAAAAATCAAAACCTGCAGAAAAATAACTTTAAAAGATTTCAGCACACCATAGCTGCAAGATGTGCCATCCAGAACAAGAATCATTAACATATAATAAATTTCAACAATATAAGAAAATCATAATTCAAATATTGTCATCATAATCCTGAATTCATACAACCAAAAACTACAACTATTTTAAACTAAATAAATATAAAAAACTTACAAAGTTCAAACCTACTAAACGGGGGCTGAAAATAGCAGGATTACGTCGGAGGAATCGTGCAAACAGCGACGAAGGCAAAAAATTAAAGCCTACATCAAATTAAAGCATCGAACATAATTTTCAAACATCAAACTTAACATTTTATTAACATCTAGAGTAACATATAGACACAATTCTTAATTAACCAATGTAAGTTTAAATTTTCACATTATCGGAACCATAAAAAATGACTAAACTCGAACAAAATTTCCAAACAAAATCTCTAATATTCAACTCCTAGTGCATCTAAATTCTCGTAACTTAATCAAAACACATAGTCAATCCTAACTCAATCCATTTTCTTCTTCCATTTTCTCGGCAACCAAACAAAAATTACAAAAAGAAAAAAAGGAGAAAACCCACCTCTTTGCAATGCTGGCGGGGGCGGGGCGGCGGGAGCGGGGCGGCGGCAGGAGAGGGAAAGAAGTGAGAAGGGATCAGAAGAGTGAGAGAGAGAAGGGAAGAGAGAGAAGCAAGGAAAGAGAGAGAGAGAAGGGAAGAGAGGGAGAGAAGGGAAGAAAGGGAGAGAAGGGAAGAGAGAGAGAAAGGAGAGAGGAGTTGCGGGGGCGGGGCGGTGGGAGCGGCGGCCGGAGAGGGGAAAAAGAGAGAAGGGAAGAGAGAGAGAGAGAGAGAGAAGGGAAGAGAGAGAGAGAAGGGAAGAGAGAGAGAGAAAGAAGGGAAGAGAGACAGGGGGAGAGAGAGAAGAGGAAGGCCGGCGGCGGGGGCGGTGACGGGAAGAGGAGGCAGAGAGAGAGAGATTTTGCAGGAGAAAGAGAGAGAGCATTGGGGGAAAATGAAGAAGAAGAAGAGAGGGTATATTAGGTTAGATTTATTTACGACGACATTATCGTCGTAAATAAATTCAAAATGTCATCGCAAATAATAAACAGCTGTCAATTATTATTATTTGTGACGATATTATCTCGTTGTAAATAATTTTTTTGTCGTCGCAAATAATCATTTTTCCCGCGTCTACTTTTTCGTGAAATCTTAAAAAGATTATTTGCGACGACAAAGAGACAATGTTGTCGTAAATAACCTAAAACTATTTACAACGACAAATGTCATCGCAAATAGTAAGATATTTGCGATGACTTATCGTCGCAAAAAATGGATTACCTTGGCGCCAAAATTCCACGCCATTGAAATTTGCGCTCCAAAATTGTTTACGACGACATTTCAGTTATTAGTGACGACATGGTTATTTTATTTAACGGGGAGTAATTGCGACGATATGTCGTCGCAAATATGGTATTATTTGCGACGATAAATGTCGTCGCAAATGGCCTTTATTGTTGTAGTGTTCATAGAAGCCCAATATCCACACCATCTAAAGAAATTCCATCACTCTGATTACTTGAGTTACTAAACCTACAATGCATGTATTGAGTTTTTGTCATACTTAACTTAAATCCATTCATCTTGAGAGTCTGTCTCCACAGTTCTAACTTACAGTAACTCGTTTCCTATGTTCTTCAACTAAAACTATATCATCCGAAAAAGCATACACCAAGGAACTCTATCTTGAATTTCTCTTGTCAGCTCATCCATCACGATGGTGAAAAGATAAGGACTAAGAGCAGATCCTTAATGAAGGATGATCTGAATGGGGAACTCTGTCGTGTAGCCTCCAGTAGTTTTCACACTCGTGACCACCCCATCGTACATGTCCTTAATTATATTAATATACCTCACATGCACTCCTCTCTTTTCTAGCACCCACTATAAAACTTCCCTCGGCACCCTATCATATGCCTTTTCTAGATCTATAAAGACCATATGTAGGTCCGTCTTGGCTTCTCTGTACCTTTCCATTAGCATCCTAAGAAGAAAAATGGCTTCCGTGGTTGATCTGCCTGGCATAAAGCCAAATTGGTTACCTGAGATGGTAGTTGTGGCCCTTAATCTCCTTTTGATAACTCTCTCCCAAAGTTTCAGAGTGTGGCTTATTAACTTGATGCCCTTATAATTGTTACAATTCATCACATCTCCTTTACTCTTGAAGATGGGGATAAGAATACTCTTCCTCCATGCATCAGGCATATGCTTCTTCTTTAGTATCTCATTAAAAAGCTTAGTGAGCCACAGAATTTCAGCATCTCCTAACGCCATCCAAACCTCTATTGGAATATCATCCGGCCCACATGCCTTCCCTTTTTTCATCTTCCGTAGTGCAGTTTTAACTTCCGAGACTCCGATTCCTCTTGTATACATCACATTAGGTTCTCCTTGTGATATATAAGATTGTCAAACTCTATCGCATGATCATCATTATAAAGCTTCTCAAAGTATCTCCTCCACCTTTCCCTAATGTGTTTATCTCTTGTCAGAACCTGATCCGTATCATCCTTAACATACCTCACTTGATTTAGGTGCTCACACTTCCTTTCTCTTATCTTAGCTAGTTTATATATATCATTCTCTCTTTCTCTAGTCCCAAATTTCGTATATACCTCATCTAAGTAAGTAGAACGAGCCTTATCAACTGCTCACTTAGCTTCTTTCTTCACTTCTTTGTACTTATTAAAAGTTTCAACATCCTTATACTTTGGTAAATCTCTATATAAATCCCTCTTGGTCCTAATAGTCTTTTGAACTTCCTCACTCCACCACCAGGTTTCTTTCCTAGGGGAGCCTTTACCTCTAGATTCCCCTAGTACCTCTTTTGCCACTTTTCTAATGCAGCTGGCCATGGCATCTCACATAGTATTTACATCACCTACATATGGCCAAGTTGCCTCATCTAACAACTTCTCTTTAAAGGCCAATTGCTTTATTCCCTTCAAATGCCACCAACGAGTTCGTGGGAGGTGGTTTATCTTAATCCTTCTATAGCAAAGCTTAATGCTCACATCTAAGATCACTAACCTATGTTAGGTGGCTAGTACTTCTCCAGATTACTTTACAATTCTTACATAGAGAACGATCTCTATACCTGGTGAGAAAATAATCTATCTGGCTTGAGTTCCTTTCATTCTTAAAAGTTATCAAGTGAGAATCTATTTTCTTGAAAAATGTGTTTGTTATGATAAAATCATGTCCCAACGCAAATTCCAAAATAGATTTCCCTTCTTCGTTTGGAGCTCCAAAACCAAAACCACCATGGATCCTTTAAAAGTTTTCCCTATCCTTACCTATATGCCCATTGAAATCCCCTCCAATGAAAATGCTATCCTCATTGCCTATACAACACACTAAGTCATCCATGTCTTCCCAGAACTTGACTTTAGTTTCTGCATCCAATCCTATTTGTGGAGCGTAAGCACTAATTACATAGATGGACTTATTTCCTAATACCAGCTTGAGCATAATAATTC